ACGGGGGGAGGGAGAGGGTCTGGTCCCGGGGGGGGGGGGGGGGGCGTCAGGCAAACCGTCCAGGTGCATCTCCCACCATCCCCAAATTGTGACTCCAATGCATACACCTGTTGCCTCCAAAGTATTCCCCACCCCACCTGCTTTAAGGTTCCCAAGAAACCTCGGTAGGTACCTTTTCACTGCAGAACCTTCCTTACAGTCACAGAAATCTGCCTTTTATGGTGTAGGCCCAGTATACCATAAGGAGAGAGGGGCTGTGGCTCAGTGAAAGAGCCTCTGCTTGGCATGCAGGAGGTCCCAGGTTCAATCCCCGGCACCTCCAGTCAAAAGGACCAGGCAGGAGGTGATGGGAAAGACCTCCACCTTAGACCCTGGAGAGCGATGGAGAACAGCATCTGCTTTGCATGCAGAAGGTCCCCGGTTCAGTCCCCGGTATCTCCAGTTAAAAAGAGACAGGCAGGAGGTGATGAGAAAGACCTCTCTGCCCGAGACCCTGAAGAGCTGCTGCCAGTCTGAGTAGGCAATACTGACCTTGATGGCCCAGGAGTCTGAGACAGTATAAGGCAGCTTCATATACCGGGGAAGGCTGTGGCTCCATGGTAGAGCAGGGTGTCTAGCTGCTGCTGCTGTTTCTCCCATTGGACAGCTCACCCTGTACAGAACAACATAAGCAACAATGTGTACTCAGTGGTAGAGCCTCTGCTTGGCATGCAGAAGGTCCCCGGTTCAATCCCCAGCAGCATGTCCAGTTAAAAATCAGGTCGTTGGTGATGAGAAAGACCTCCGCCTGAGACCCTGGAGAGCTGTAAAGAGGGGCTGTGGCTCAGTGACAGAGCCTCTGCTTGGCATGCGGAAGGTCCCCGGTTCAATCCCCAGCAGCATCTCCAGTTAAACAGACCAGGTCGGTGGTGATGAGAAAGACCTCCGCCTGAGACCCTGGAGAGCCGCTGCTGGTCTTGGTAGACCAAGAGCTTGCTTCAATATAAGGCAAGTTCGTGTGTGTGTGATAAGTCGGCAAGTTCGTGTGTGTGTGTGTGTGTGTGTGATATGTCTCTGCCTGGTAGCGGCTCTCCAAGATTTCAGAGGAGCGTGAGGTCTCTTCCAGGCCTCGAGCTTAGAGATGCAGAGTTTGAACCTCAGTTCTTCTGCCTGCAAAACAGGAACTCTGCGGTGTTTAATGTAAGAATTAAAAATTTCCCTAGATGTTGCAGAAACGTCTGTGAGCAGGAGACAAGATTTTTACCTGCTTCTTTTCACATATCTTCCCTGTGGGACTCACACTGACACTGATGATGCATCCCGGGGTGGCATTTCTCATGCTTGCTTTTCTGCGCAGGGAAAAGCTGTTTATGGGCTTCCTAGAGGAATCTGGTCAGCTACTGTGGGAACAGAATGCTGGACTTATAGACTCATGGAGGAATTTCAGACAGATGATATATTCCGGAAGAGGAACGGTTCCCAAACGGTTTCTGGTCTGTCATTTCAGAACCATTTTAGAACCAGTTCCCTACCGGAATATATTTGTAATTTCAGACACAAACGCTTCTGTCCCGTTTAGGAAACGGGGCTGAAGCGTTTTACCTGTCAACCGCTTCCAAGTAGTCTTCAGTTTCCTCTCCCGATTCCGATGTGCTTTTTCCCCACCGTTTTTCGCCCGCGCGAGCTATAACGCTATAATGGAACAGCATTATATCAACCCCATTGGAATGCCTGGAGTGTTTTGTTATAGTGCTATAGCGCTGTAGTGCTCTAAAGCAAACGTTCCCCCCCAAAAAATAGCCGGAGATCGCCCACGCGGGCGAAAAAAAGCAGGGGAAAGTGGTGCAGTCTGAAATGGCAAACCGCTTCAGATCCAGCTCTTTACCGGAAGGGGAAAGCCATGTGTGAAATGGCAGCATTATACCGGTTTACTCCACGACGGATCAAAAACGACTTCAAAACAGGTTAAAAAGGGTAATGTGAAATTCCTCACAGAATGTTAGAGCTGGAAGGGACCTTGCAGGTCATCCAGTCTGACCCCCTGCACTCTGCAGGAGCATAGCTGAAAGAGAGCCCTACAACATACCCGAGAGATGGCCATCCAGCCTCCGCTTGAAAACGTCCACCGAAGGAGCCTCCAGCACCTCCCGAGGCAGACTGTTCCACTGCTCAACCACTCTGACAGTCAGGAGGTTTCTCCTGATATTTAGCCAGTAACGACTCCCTTGTCATTTCCACCTATTAGATCTAGTCTTGCAATCCGGAGCAAGAGAGAATAGATCTGCTCCATCGTCTACATGACAGCCCTTCAGATACTTGAAGACTGCAGTCATGTCCCCTCTAAGCCTTCTCTTTCCCAGGCTAAACAGACCCGACTCTTTCAGCCTTTCCTCGTAAGACTTGGATTCCAACCCTCTCACCATCCTGGTTGCCCTCTTCTGGACACGGTCATAGAATTATAGAATCATAGAATGTTAGAGTTGGAAGGGACCTCGCCGGTCATCCAGTCCAACCCCCTGCACTCTGCAGGAGCAGAGCCGAAAGGCAGCCCTACAACATACCCGAGAGAGGGCCGTCCAGCCTCCGCTTGAAAACTTGCTGGGTCTTTGGTCTGATCCAGCAGGGCTCTTCTTATGCTCTTATAACATTACATCAGACCTGGACAGGTGTGTCAGGTCTATTGCGGGTGGGAAATAGGGAGTCTCGTGGCACTCGAAAGGCAAACCGAAGCTTTTTTATGTTAGAAGAATGGCAGAATATGTTATTTTCACACAAATATGCTTATACGACAAAATTCATTTTTAAGATGCTACAGTATATGTAGCACTAAACAAGTCAAAAGCATATGGACAGATATTGCTGGAGTCCAGTGGCGCCTTGGAGATCAACAAGATTTTGGAGGAATAAACTTTTGAGAGTGAGCACTCCCTTCGTCAGATACGAGTGAAGGGGATGAAGGGGGCTTTGGCTTTCGAAAGCTCATACCCTGAAAACCCTGTCGGTTTCTAAGGTGCTCCAGGACTGGAATCAAACTGTTCCACTGCAGACAAGTGTGGCTGCCCTCTGGAACTATAGCTAGAGAAGAGAAGAGATTGGATTCATACCCCGCCCCTCACTCGGAGTCTCAGAGTAGCTTACAATCTTCTTTCCCTTCCCCTCCCCACAACAGACACCCTCTGAGCAGTTTTCCCTCTAAGCTGAGTGAGTGTAAGCTAGCTCACAGTTTTTTAGCCTCCAGCTCACACGTTTTTGTCTTAGCTCAGGAAGGAGGGCTCCAGAGCAGTGTCCCCTCTAAGCTGAGTGAGTGTGAGCTAGCTTACAGTTTTTTAGCCTCTGGCTCACACCTTTTTGTCTCAGGAAGGATGTCTCCAGAGCAGTGTCCCCTCTAAGCTGAGTGAGTGTGAGCTAGCTCACAGTTTTTTAGCCTCCAGCTCACACGTTTTTGTTTTAGCTCAGGAAGGATGACTCCAGAGCAAACTAATTTATGCAGTAGCCAAATCACTCACTCACAGCTTTAATGCCAGCAGCTCACAAAGCCTGATTTTTGCTCACGAGTCTCCACAGCTTAGAGGGAACATTGCCTGTGAGGTTGGTGGGGCTGAGAGAGCTCTTTTCAGAACTGTCCTTGAGAGAACAGCTCTGACAGAACTATGGCTTGCCCAGGGTCAAATAGAATTTTCACTTTGATGGAGGGACGCACATTCAGACCTACAAAATCGCTGTTACCAGAATAAGTTGTGGTGGTGATATGGCTATACCTATGGCCCATCACTAATACCAAGAGTCCAATTATAAGTTGACAAGGAAACAACATCTGGTTTAATTATATGGATACTAGAATTCTGTAACAGGTCTTTGAATGTGTGTCTAGAATATATAGATAATAGTGACCACTACCACTGAGGAAGGCCCTTAGGGGCCGAAGCGCGTTTGGTCTTCAGATGTAAAGTTTTTACCCATCATTTGTATGTATAGTGGACAAGCTTTTACAGTCTGATTTTAGACAAAGCAAGTTTTAATCAGGAAAGTTTTAACACGTGTACACCTTAATAAATATTTGTGCTTTTTTATATATATGGTTTAGCTTAGCCCTATTTGGTTCATTGCCCAGGGTCATCTAGCAGGTGCAAGCGGAGGAGTGGGGGAATCAAACCCGGTTCTCCCGGATTAGAGTCCGCGCACTTAAGCACTACACCAAACTGGCTCTGTTACCATGGTGTGTTGTTTTTTTTAAAAATCAAAGTGGGCCATGAGGTCACAAAGTAAAACCTGTGGCCTCTGTGAGCGTGAAGAGTGCAGGGGGATCCCCGGCACCCGGTACAAGCCC